CAAAAGGGTGGCTCAGAGAGGACAAAAGGGCGGCTCAGAGAGGACAAAAGGGTGGCTCAGAGAGGACAAAAGGGTGGCTCAGAGAGGACAAAAGGGTGGCTCTGAGAGGACAAAAGGGCGGTTCAGAGAGGACAAAAGGGTGACTCAGAGAGGACAAAAGGGTGGCTCAGAGAGGACAAAAGGGTGGCTCAGAGAGGACAAAAGGGTGGCTCAGAGAGGACAAAAGGGCGGCTCAGAGAGGACAAAAGGGTGGGTCAGAGAGGACAAAAGGGTGGGTCAAAGAGGACAAAATGGTGGTTCAGAGAGGACAAAAGGGTGGCTCAGAGAGGACAAAAGGGTGGCTCAGAGAGGACAAAAGGGCGGCTCAGAGAGGACAAAAGGGTGGCTCTGAGAGGACAAAAGGGTGGCTCAGAGAGGACAAAAGGGTGGCTCAGAGAGGACAAAAGGGTGGCTCAGAGAGGACAAAAGGGTGGCTCGGAGAGGACAAAAGGGTGGCTCAGAGAGGACAAAAGGGTGGCTCAGAGAGGACAAAAGGGTGGCTCAGAGAGGACAAAAGGGTGGCTCAGAGAGGATAAAAGGGTGGCTCAGAGAGGACAAAAGGGCGGCTCAGAGAGGACAAAAGGGTGGCTCAGAGAGGACAAAAGGGTGGCTCAGAGAGGACAAAAGGGTGGCTCAGAGAGGACAAAAGGGTGGCTCAGAGAGGACAAAAGGGTGGCTCAGAGAGGACAAAAGGGTGGCTCAGAGAGGACAAAAGGGTGGCTCAGAGAGGACAAAAGGGTGGCTCAGAGAGGACAAAAGGGTGGCTCAGAGAGGACAAAAGGGTGGCTCAGAGAGGACAAAAGGGTGGCTCAGAGAGGACAAAAGGGTGGCTCAGAGAGGATAAAAGGGTGGCTCAGAGAGGACAAAAGGGCGGCTCAGAGAGGACAAAAGGGTGGCTCAGAGAGGACAAAAGGGTGGCTCAGAGAGGACAAAAGGGTGGCTCAGAGAGGACAAAAGGGTGGCTCAGAGAGGACAAAAGGGTGGCTCAGAGAGGACAAAAGGGCGGCTCAGAGAGGACAAAAGGGTGGCTCAGAGAGGACAAAAGGGCGGCTCAGAGAGGACAAAAGGGTGGCTCAGAGAGGACAAAAGGGTGGCTCAGAGAGGACAAAAGGGTGGATCAGAGAGGACAAAAGGGTGGGTCAGAGAGGACAAAAGGGTGGGTCAGAGAGGACAAAAGGGTGGTTCAGAGAGGACAAAAGGGTGGCTCAGAGAGGACAAAAGGGTGGCTCAGAGAGGACAAAAGGGCGGCTCAGAGAGGACAATAGGGTGGCTCTGAGAGGACAAAAGGGTGGTTCAGAGAGGACAAAAGGGTGACTCAGAGAGGACAAAAGGGTGGCTCAGAGAGGACAAAAGGGTGGCTCAGAGAGGACAAAAGGGTGGCTCAGAGAGGACAAAAGGGTGGCTCAGAGAGGACAAAAGGGTGGCTCAGAGAGGAAAAAAGGGTGGCTCAGAGAGGACAAAAGGGTGGCTCAGAGAGGACAAAAGGGTGGCTCAGAGAGGACAAAAGGGTGGGTCAGAGAGGACAAAAGGGTGGCTCAGAGAGGACAAAAGGGTGGCTCAGAGAGGACAAAAGGGTGGCTCAGAGAGGACAAAAGGGCGGCTCAGAGAGGACAAAAGGGTGGCTCAGAGAGGATAGAAGGGTGGTTCAGAGAGGACAAAAGGGTGACTCAGAGAGGACAAAAGGGTGGCTCAGAGAGAACAAAAGGGTGGCTCAGAGAGGACAAAAGGGTGGCTCAGAGAGGACAAAAGGGTGGCTCAGAGAGGACAAAAGGGTGGCTCAGAGAGGACAAAAGGGTGGGTCAGAGAGGACAAAAGGGTGGCTCAGAGAGGACAAAAGGGTGGTTCAGAGAGGACAAAAGGGTGGCTCAGAGAGGACAAAAGGGTGGCTCAGAGAGGACAAAAGGGCGGCTCAGAGAGGACAAAAGGGTGGCTCAGAGAGGACAAAAGGGTGGCTCAGAGAGGACAAAAGGGTGGCTCAGAGAGGACAAAAGGGTGGGTCAGAGAGGACAAAAGGGTGGGTCAGAGAGGACAAAAGGGTGGTTCAGAGAGGACAAAAGGGTGGCTCAGAGAGGACAAAAGGGTGGCTCAGAGAGGACAAAAGGGCGGCTCAGAGAGGACAAAAGGGTGGCTCTGAGAGGACAAAAGGGTGGCTCGGAGAGGACAAAAGGGTGGCTCGGAGAGGACAAAAGGGTGGGTCAGAGAGGACAAAAGGGTGGGTCAGAGAGGACAAAAGGGTGGGTCAGAGCGGACAAAAGGGTGGCTCAGAGAGGACAAAAGGGTGGCTCAGAGAGGACAAAAGGGTGGCTCAGAGAGGACAAAAGGGTGGGTCAGAGAGGACAAAAGGGTGGGTCAGAGAGGACAAAAGGGTGGGTCAGAGAGGACAAAAGGGTGGTTCAGAGAGGACAAAAGGGTGGCTCAGAGAGGACAAAAAGGTGGCTCAGAGAGGACAAAAGGGTGGCTCAGAGAGGACAAAAGGGCGGCTCAGAGAGGACAAAAGGGTGGCTCAGAGAGGACAAAAGGGTGGCTCAGAGAGGACAAAAGGGCGGCTCAGAGAGGACAAAAGGGTGGCTCAGAGAGGACAAAAGGGCGGCTCAGAGAGGACAAAAGGGTGGCTCAGAGAGGACAAAAGGGTGGCTCAGAGAGGACAAAAGGGTGGCTCAGAGAGGACAAAAGGGTGGCTCAGAGAGGACAAAAGGGTGGCTCAGAGAGGACAAAAGGGCGGCTCAGAGAGGACAAAAGGGTGGCTCAGAGAGGACAAAACGGCGGCTCAGAGAGGACAAAAGGGTGGCTCAGAGAGGACAAAAGGGTGGCTCAGAGAGGACAAAAGGGTGGCTCAGAGAGGACAAAAGGGTGGGTCAGAGAGGACAAAAGGGTGGGTCAGAGAGGACAAAAGGGTGGTTCAGAGAGGACAAAAGGGTGGCTCAGAGAGGACAAAAGGGTGGCTCAGAGAGGACAAAAGGGCGGCTCAGAGAGGACAAAAGGGTGGCTCTGAGAGGACAAAAGGGTGGCTCAGAGAGGACAAAAGGGTGGCTCGGAGAGGACAAAAGGGTGGGTCAGAGAGGACAAAAGGGTGGGTCAGAGAGGACAAAAGGGTGGGTCAGAGAGGACAAAAGGGTGGGTCAGAGAGGACAAAAGGGTGGCTCAGAGAGGACAAAAGGGTGGCTCAGAGAGGACAAAAGGGTGGGTCAGAGAGGACAAAAGGGTGGGTCAGAGAGGACAAAAGGGTGGGTCAGAGAGGACAAAAGGGTGGTTCAGAGAGGACAAAAGGGTGGCTCAGAGAGGACAAAAGGGTGGCTCAGAGAGGACAAAAGGGTGGCTCAGAGAGGACAAAAGGGCGGCTCAGAGAGGACAAAAGGGTGGCTCAGAGAGGACAAAAGGGTGGCTCAGAGAGGACAAAAGGGTGGCTCAGAGAGGACAAAAGGGTGGCTCGGAGAGGACAAAAGGGTGGCTCAGAGAGGACAAAAGGGTGGCTCAGAGAGGACAGAAGGGTGGCTCAGAGAGGACAAAAGGGTGGCTCAGAGAGGATAAAAGGGTGGCTCAGAGAGGACAAAAGGGCGGCTCAGAGAGGACAAAAGGGTGGCTCAGAGAGGACAAAAGGGTGGCTCAGAGAGGACAAAAGGGTGGCTCAGAGAGGACAAAAGGGTGGCTCAGAGAGGACAAAAGGGTGGCTCAGAGAGGACAAAAGGGCGGCTCAGAGAGGACAAAAGGGTGGCTCAGAGAGGACAAAAGGGCGGCTCAGAGAGGACAAAAGGGTGGCTCAGAGAGGACAAAAGGGTGGCTCAGAGAGGACAAAAGGGTGGCTCAGAGAGGACAAAAGGGTGGGTCAGAGAGGACAAAAGGGTGGGTCAGAGAGGACAAAAGGGTGGTTCAGAGAGGACAAAAGGGTGGCTCAGAGAGGACAAAAGGGTGGCTCAGAGAGGACAAAAGGGCGGCTCAGAGAGGACAAAAGGGTGGCTCTGAGAGGACAAAAGGGTGGTTCAGAGAGGACAAAAGGGTGACTCAGAGAGGACAAAAGGGTGGCTCAGAGAGGACAAAAGGGTGGCTCAGAGAGGACAAAAGGGTGGCTCAGAGAGGACAAAAGGGTGGCTCAGAGAGGACAAAAGGGTGGCTCAGAGAGGACAAAAGGGTGGCTCAGAGAGGACAAAAGGGTGGCTCAGAGAGGACAAAAGGGTGGCTCAGAGAGGACAAAAGGGTGGGTCAGAGAGGACAAAAGGGTGGTTCAGAGAGGACAAAAGGGTGGCTCAGAGAGGACAAAAGGGTGGCTCAGAGAGGACAAAAGGGCGGCTCAGAGAGGACAAAAGGGTGGCTCAGAGAGGATAAAAGGGTGGTTCAGAGAGGACAAAAGGGTGACTCAGAGAGGACAAAAGGGTGGCTCAGAGAGGACAAAAGGGTGGCTCAGAGAGGACAAAAGGGTGGCTCAGAGAGGACAAAAGGGTGGCTCAGAGAGGACAAAAGGGTGGGTCAGAGAGGACAAAAGGGTGGGTCAGAGAGGACAAAAGGGTGGCTCAGAGAGGACAAAAGGGTGGTTCAGAGAGGACAAAAGGGTGGCTCAGAGAGGACAAAAGGGTGGCTCAGAGAGGACAAAAGGGCGGCTCAGAGAGGACAAAAGGGTGGCTCAGAGAGGACAAAAGGGTGGTTCAGAGAGGACAAAAGGGTGACTCAGAGAGGACAAAAGGGTGGCTCAGAGAGGACAAAAGGGTGGCTCAGAGAGGACAAAAGGGTGGCTCCGAGAGGACAAAAGGGTGACTCAGAGAGGACAAAAGGGTGGCTCAGAGAGGACAAAAGGGTGGCTCAGAGAGGACAAAAGGGTGGGGCAGAGAGGACCAAAGGGTGGGTCAGAGAGGACAAAAGGGTGGGGCAGAGAGGAGGACGGGGCCAGGGAGGGATGAACGGGGTGAGAGTGGTGAGGGGTGAGAGAGAGCTTTCCGTTACCCACAACCCTCCCCAATTCAAACTTTTCCTCATTGTCTCCCGTCCCCCACATCGCTCTCCCCCCCCACCTCTAGCTGCAGCCGCACTGAGTCCGTGCCAATCCCCCCCCGACCACCACCTGCCTTCCCCGCCCCCTCTCCTCCTGCTCCCCCCTCCCCCTCCCCCTCCCCCGCCCCCGCCCCCTCTCCTCCTGCTCCCCCCTCCCCCTCCCCCTCCCCCGCGCCCCTCCCCTCCCCCAGCGCTGCCTGCCTCTCCGCCTCCTCTGCTGCCAGCCGAGCCAGGCGCCTTCGATTCGCCAGCTGGCAGCTGGTGGGGTTGTGCGGGGAAGGAGTAGAAGAGGGAGTTGAGGGGGGAGGTAGGGGGAGGAGGGGAGGTAGGGGGAGGAGGGTAGGGGAGGAGGGAGAGGGGCGATGGGGTGTGTAAGGGAGGAGAGAAATGAGGTGCTGAGAGGATAGGGCACCGGATGGCATGAGAGGTGGTGACAAAATTAGGACGTGTGTGGGGAGGAGTCTCACTATCCCTCCTCCGTGCTCCCACAACCAACCCCCCCCCTCTCCGTGCTCGCACAACCAACCCCCCCCCCTCTGCAAGCACGCCATGTGTGTGAAGTGCACTGACGCGATGCCGCGTGGCAGGCGCAGCTTGAGCCCGCGGTACAGCCCCTCCTTGCCCTCCCTCGCCTGCTCGCCCAGCAGCGCCTTCAGCTGCCGCATCCACGGCCGCCACCACGGGTGCGCCGCCCGGAAGGCCGACAGAATCTGATGCGCGGGCAGGGGGCGGGTGAAAGGGGTGTTAGACGAGGGATGAAGAAGGCGAGTCCTACTCGCTCTCTCCACTCCCCACTCCCACAGGATCTCTCCTTGGATAAGCTGCTCTGCTGCGCTCCGCAAATACTAGGAGTGAAGCACCCATCCAACCTGACACCATGCACTCCCTTGCGCTGCTCATGCCACCATGCACTCCCTTGCGCTGCTCATGCCACCATGCACTCCCTTGCGCTGCTCAGGCGAGCTCAACCCACCCGCTCGTTCTTGTCGATTGCCCACATAGACTGGGACACCATGGGCAGCGCAACTTCCAGGAACTTGCTGGCGTTGTCAGCCTTGTCCCACAGGTACGCCCTGGCCAGTCGCACCTCCACCAGCTTCCACCACGCCGCCCCGCCCCTCCTCCCCCCCGCCCCCTCGCCCGCCCCATCCACTGCAGCGGAAGCCCCCCCCTGCGATCCTCCCTGTGCTGCCTCTGCCCCTTCCTGCTGCCCCTCGCCCCCCCCCTGCTCGCCCTCCCCCGGCCCCTCCAGCACCGCCGCTGCCTCTGGCAGGCGACCCGCGAGGGCGAGCGCAGAGGAGAGGTGCAGACGGGGGTGGGGCAGGCAGGGCAGGCACGCCACCACTGGGGGGAGAGGAGGGGAGCGCAAGGGAGGAAGAATAGAAGAGCGGAGAGCATGTGTTAGGGAGAGAAGCGGGGAGAGTGGAAGGAAAGTGAAAGGGTCGAAGGAGGTGAGGCTTGGTGAAGAGAGGTGATGAACGGTGGCAGGTGCAGGTGAGGCGAGACGGTGATGGAGGAGGAGACACATGGGCGGCGGGGAAGAGGAAGTGCAGGTGCATGGTGGCGGGGAGGATGGGAGAGAGTGGTGCGAGCAACGAGAGAGCGGGGATGGAAGGTGGCAGTGAATCAGTAGAGAGTAGTGTAGGAGGGAAGAGAGTGTGAAGGAGGGAAGAGAGTGTAAAGGAGGGAAAAGAGTGTAAAGGAGGGAAGAGAGTGTAAAGGAGGGAAGAGAGTGGAAAGGAGGGAAGAGAGTGTAGAGGAGGGAAGCGAGTGTAGGAGGGAAGAGGGAGGGGGAAGGCAGAGGATGGAGAGGGAAAGGGCCAAGCAGGGGTGCGTGCCAGGTGGGTACCCGCTGCATGACAAGACGGAACCCACTTGCCAGCTTTACTGTTTGGAAGCGCGACCCATCAAGACGGACGAAGCGCCAAGCAATGTTGTGTGCAATGTCTGAATCTTTGTACTAGGTTTCTTACGAGACACGGAACTGTTAGGTACAAGTAGTGGTTGCTAGGTAGTGGACAAGTTTAGTCGGATTCGGAAACGCCGATGAAGGCCTAAAAAGCCGAAACGCGTGTACGTTTTCTGAACCACTTGTATGTTACCGATTAATACTACTACACTAACCTACATACAGGTTCTCGCCTATTATTCAGTGATATTAGTCAGGTCGGTCGAACCGAGCTTGCAGCTTTCTACCCGTTTTCTTAGTTTGAGAGCACACACAGACGCAAACGCATGCACAGGAGCTGAAGAAAGCTGCAGATAGATGCAGACACTTGTGTATGTATGCGCATGCCCCTTTTTCGCTCCACACACACACAAATGGGACAAAAATACATGCACAGTCCACCCCTCTCCTCCCCGACACCAACACTGGAAGAAGGACACGCACACACCTCCTCCCCCCAACACACACAGAACCCACCCACCCCTCCCAGACATCAGCCTCCACCGCCCACAGCACACGCGCACCTCGGTGCAGAATGAGCAGGGCGTCATCCACGCGCCCAGCAGCAGCACACGCCGCTCCCAGCTTCACCCACACCGCCGCCCGCCCCTCCACCTCCTGCCATAACGCCTCCGCCCCTCCCCCTTGCCCCTCTGACGCTGTCGCTGCCCCACCGGCCTCTGAAGCAGCAGCACCCCCGAGATCCCGAGCAGCAGCATCTGCAGCGGCGGCAGCAGCAGCAGCGAGGGCCACGTCGTCCCAGTGGCAGCAGAGCGGGCGGTAGAAGCGGACGGCATCTGCCGCCCGGCCGACAGCCATGAAGGCATCGCCTGCCTCTGTGAAGAGGTCTGCACAGTCCCCTGCACTCTCCTGCTCCAATGCCTGCAGGTACGGCTGCAAGGAGGGAGGGGCGAGTGGTGGAGGAGGGGAGGGGGGAGAAAGGGGGGTGTTTGTTGCAAGGAAGTAAACGAAATCTGAATACGATCACCTAATGGCACTGGGTGTGCATCAGGAGAATCCAATCGCACAAGTTCCGCCTCTCCTGTGCATTTGTGAGTCATGAATCATGGTAGAATGAACAAGCAGGGAGAAGAAGGGTTTCCTGCGCCTTGCAGCCCGGAGCCGAGTTCCACGTGGTTTACACAGAAGCGGCGAAGCAACAGCGGGAAAGGCAGGCCATTCTCCCGAGCTTGTGGAAACACTGCTCCACCTCACCTGTGCGTCTGTGACTCGGCCCCGGCACACGAGGCACACGCCTGCCTCGGCACCCAGGTCAACCGGCAGGGCAGAGCAGAGGGCAGAGCACAGGGCAGAGCACAGGGCAGAGCAGAGGGCAGAGCACAGGGCAGAGCAGAGGGTTCACCTGAGCGTCTGTGAGGCGGCCCAGGCGCACGAGGCACGTGCCCGCCTTGGCGCCCAGGTCCACCGGCAGGGCCTCCCCAGGACACAGCGACGCCCGCGCTCGCTCCACCACACCCAGCGCTTCCAGGAAGCTTCCCTTGGTCATGTAGAGCTCGGCGAGAATGTTTACAGCCGTGAGATCGAGCGGGGCGGCGGGGGTGGAGGAGGAGGAGAGGAGGGACTGGAGGACCTCGATGGCCTTGTCTGATTGGTCGATGCGGTGATACATCTGGGGGAGGGAGGAGAGAGGAGGGTGGGCAAGGCAAGGTGCCCTGAGCCTGTTGCAGTGATGGCATGGGTGTGACTCGTGAGGACACATTGCATCACGGGCCCAGCACAAGATGCCTCCGCCATCTGCTTCCAACTCCCAGCCACGCCATACCGTGTCCACCATCCACCCCACACAATCCCATGCCACACCAAGTCCTGCAATGCCACACCTCACCACTCCATGCACTTAACCGCCCTTCCATCTCACCCGCGCCAGCATCTTGCAGACCTCCCCATCTGTCTCCCGCTGCCCGTCCGCCTCCCTGTGTGCGCGCATGAGCTCCAGTGCCGCCGCGGCCCGCCGGTAGTCCCCTGCCTCCGCCAGCAGCAGCGCCTGCTCCCACCTCGCCTCCACGTCCGATGGGTCCCGCCGCACCACCTGGTGGGGACGGCACGGGGAGGAGCGGTTGAGTGGGAAGAGCGGATGAAAGACGAGGCAAGTGGACGGCAACGATTGATCCACCTCGCAGCAGCAACGCCTGGCCGTGCCTTGCCTCCACGCCCAAGTGGGGGCGAGGTGCTGTGTGCAGGAGGGATGGGGGGAGCGAGATGCGGTTGAAGGGGAGCGGAGGGGAGGAGAGCGGCAGGGGTGTGCGGCAGTGCCCGTGGCAGCATGAGACGGCCTGGGCAGTGCAGTAAGGTGCGGGAGGTAGGCGTCAGGGCAAGGTGCAGTGGCCGAGAAGGGAGAGAAGAGAAGTGCGGTTGGAGAAAAGAAATGTGGATGGAGAAGAAAAGGGCGAAAAGGAAGTACTGAGGGGGAAGTACCTTGGAGAGGCAGTAGAGTGACTGAGAGGGGTTGCCCAGTTCCCTGCAGCACACAGGAGGGCGCATGAGAGGTGGGAGAGGGGTACAGGAATCAATCGTGGTTGGCTGAGGGCCAATCACAGGAACTATCTTCAGATACTTTCTTGTCACTAGGCAATCAAGCACCCACCAGAAACTCACTATTAGCTAGCTGCCCCTCTTGCCTCTCCCCCTTTTGCACTCCAAGCCATCCCCAAGCATGCTCTCTGCTCCCCTACCCCACCTCTCTCTTCTTACAGTGACCAGGCAGCGAGGCGGCGCCAGAGCGCGGTGTCCTGAGGGGTGATGTGCGCGGCGATCATGCTCAGGTTCACGGCCTTCTTCCTATCCCCCATTGCGTCGTACACGAGCGCCAGCGTCTGGTAGCTGTCGGGCACCGCAGGGGCCTCCCGTATCACTGCCTCCAGCAGCGGAATGGCCTGGCGGGGAGGGGCAGGATGGGAAATGCAGTGGCTTGTGCACATCAGCAGTGCCACTGCAGTCTAGTGGAATGTAATGTGGGCTCTGCTTAACTCTTTCACTCTCCTCCACCTCGCTGCACCACTCCTAATCTTGCTGCACCGCTCCTAACCTCGCTGCACCGCTCCTAACCTCTCTGCACTGCTCACCACCTCGCTGCACCGCTGCTCACCTGGCTGCACCGCTGCTCAACTGGCTGCACCGCTGCTCACCTGGCTGCACCGCTGCTCACCTCACTGTAGCGCCCCATGGCGTACATGAGGTTGGCATCGCCTAGCCGAGCCACCACCTCAGGAGACAGGCGTGAAGTCCCCTTAGGACGGCCCCGTTTGCACAGCTGCCAGGGAGAGATGTGGAGGGGTGATGATGATGTGACGAGAGAATGGAAGAAATTACAAGCACGGGGAGAAGGGCGAGAGGGCGTGGGGAGAGCGTGGGGAGAGCGTGGGGAGAGCGTGGGGAGAGCGTGAGGAGAGCGTGGAGAGAGTGTGGGGAGAGCACGGGGAGAGAATGGGGAGAGCATGGGGAGAGCTCGGGGAGAGCACTGGGAAAGCGTGGGGAGAGCGTGGGAATGGACGGACCATCTTCCTTCGCTTGCGAGACGGCGCCGTAGCGGCCTCCCAGATCTCGTCAATGCTAGCTCCAAACAACGCTGCCCGCGCCACCCCTCCACTGCCTCCTCCCCCCTCGTCGCTGCTGTCCCCACTGCCCTCCTGTGTGCGGCAGCGCCTGCATGGAGAACAGGAGGAGGCGGGGAGCGAGGGCGGGAGGGGGGAGGAGTGAGGACGGGAGGGGGGAGGAGCGAGGGCGGGAGGGGGGAGGAGCGAGGGCGGGAGGGGGGAGGAGTGAGGACGGGAGGGGGAGGAGCGAGGGCGGGAGGGGGGAGGAGTGAGGACGGAG